AATTAAACCATATGTTAGTCCCGAAATGACCTAGTTTGTGGCGAGTGGACGTTAATCCCCATTTCTCTTTCGCTCTCTCTCTTGAGGGAATTTTCATTACTTCGCTTCGTTCAACCGCTTAAATAAATTAACACAACCGAACAATACAAAACTATCAAAGCCATCCCGTTTCTTTTAGTCAGATATTGAAGGTTAAACAATTTTTGTTCCCAGATGCTAATACAAAGATTGTCCGGAAAACGAAAACCCCACCTTTATAAAATAAAATCTATTGATCTTTGAACGAGAGAAATCCTTAACTTTAACATCTAAGAATGTTCACAGCGTAGTACACGATCTTCGACACCGATCTACATCGTTAGTGAGAAGAACTGAGAGACTGCTTTTTTGGCTTGTGTAGCTAGTAGAGTAGTCAATATTTGATTTTAGGGGACTCGGGCACAGACAAACCGCAGATTAAAGGCCAAACCTGTATTTGGTTTCAAATAACGAGTTTACATATATGTACAGACAGACATTTCTGTGGACACAAGATTCAAACACCAAGTTTACTTTAGTCGGGGCTAAACCGTTACACTTCAGGGTTGATGGCCGAATTAGTGTGAACTTTGACCTTGAAATGGTCAGTTGCAAGCTGCATTGGTCAGGTGTCGTTGTTGTGTAAATATTGGAAACTGTTTGAGAGAAAAGGAGTTTGGGTTTTTAAGCCGCCCGTTACAGTCCAATTATCGTTTATTTAACTTCACCATTTGTAAGGTGATTTTTTTTATGTCTTCGTATATTTGTTCAGCTTGAGGTGTCGATGAAGAGGTTAGTTCTGTATTAATTGGATCATGGATGTGCTCGGAATAATCGTTTTATTTCCTGTTAGTCTGTCTATGAAAATTGTGACTGGTTGTTTAACGTTATTTGTAGAAAATAAAACCATTAAAATGTAGAAACGAGGAACAACATAGATACTTAGCCGATGCAGGTTTTAATTTTTCGCCTAGTCTCACTCACATTTAAATGGGCAAGAGCGGGTACCTAGTCAAAAAGGGACTCTTTCTGTAAGGGCGCAACCCCACGAAAACCGAGCCAAACAAAGTAACGAGCTAAACCAGGACATCGGTGCCCTCAAGCCGTGGGGACACAACTCTAGCCAGACGGCAACAAGGTACATAGCGAAACCGCGACACTGGACACTCTTAACATTACTGCAATAGAACCAATCAAGAAACTCGGTCAAACCGGGACACTGGTAACGTCAAGTAGTAGGGACCTCAAGTCTTAGGGACGTAAGTATACTACGCGGCTACCGAGCCAAACACGATACCAAGTCAAACCGGGATACTGTTACCCTCAATCAGTGGGTACACGATAACCGAGTCAAATAAGGTACCCAGTCAAACTGGGACATTGGGACGCCCTCGCCAAGGGTACACAACTTTGGCGACACGACAACCTGCAACACGGAGACGCCCTCGCCACGGATACATAACTCTAACCACTCTCCATCGTGTAAAATACATTGCAATGAAATATATTACTGACATTACAGGAGATTTAAAGGACTACCGCACGTATATATATATATATATATATATATATATATATATAACTAATAGGTTTTATACAAGAATAAATAAAATTAATGTCGGGTACTTCAAAGATATCTTAATAAGGGACACCTGCAAGATCTGCCTTAAAGTAAAATAGTTTTATTCATTAAGATTTTAATACAAAATCTATCTAAAAACATATTATCGATATACGGGCAAATTATTAATACATCTATGCATTTGTAATAAAACGAATTATTGATATTTTATCCATATTGACGTTAAAAATCCATCTATGCAGTTATTCGCTCTCGTCATCTGGGTTTATGCTTTTACAGTTATTAATACATCCATGCATTTTCTTTTTATTAAAACAAATTATTGATATTTTATTCTTATTAGGGTATAGAGAGATGGCGTTAAGAATGCATCTATGCATTTTCTTTTATTAAAGCAGAATAATGTTAATTCATTCTCATTATGGTAGAATATTGGCGGTAAAAAAATCATCGATGCATTTATAGTTAGTTATTCGCTCTCGTCACCTCTATTAACGCTTTTAGTGGTATTTCCTTCTAGACTTACTTTTAATGAAAAACATAAAATAAAAACCATCATTGGTCGTTTACAGCTTCTATAAAATGCAGTGTTGGTGATTAATATCTTACTTCTATTCTTCAGAATACATATTTTTATTATAAATAAATCAAGCTTAGTCAAACAAGCTGGCCGACACAGAAGCCCAATTAACGGGATTCGGTGAACCTAAAAGACCAGGATATTTAACGAGTGCGCACTTTAACAAGTTTTTTGAAAGGATTATACGCCGGAACGAAAAGATACAATGCAAACAGCCTATTTTAGTATTGACTCGGAATAAACGGTTTCTAAGCAACCGTACACTGAAGTAAAAGCAAATTGTGGAATGGAAATGATACGGAATAATTTGAGGGTTTATGAGGCATCTCTATTAACGAAACAAAAAAAGTAAAACGGATAAGAGCTCCGCCTTAATCTTCCTTAATCGTAAGTTGATGCTCCCGGAATTTAACCTGTCTCTTATATCATTATACACAGGAAAGGAAAGTTTTAAACGGTTTTGGGACGGGATTTAAATTTTATAAAAGGGTTAATCTTTAACGGTGGATCTGTGAGTATGACATAAAATGAAATGGGGTTTAACGTTCCACTTTTCTGCACCGACTGGGCTAACGAAGATTGGTGTACGCGATACTGTGTCCTATGAAATAATGTTTTCACGGACATATGTTTGACACTGGTTAAGCATTATGATTATGATTATAATGTTGAAAATCGCATTGAAACCGCGTGATATTTTGCCATTTGCGAGGGGGCGCAAAATCCCAAGGGGACACAAAAACTCAAAACCATGTGCGTCTCTCTCATTTAGCGCCTGTATGCATGTGTACCACTGAGAGCCCGTTAAAGATCCTAAACAGTTGAAAATTAAAATAAGAGTAGGCCGAATGTCCTTTAAAGCACACATCATGGCGCTTAACCGTTTACATTAGCTCAGGTAGTACAGGAAAGTACAACATTTCATGCCATTTTTAATTCGTAAATATTCATAGCGATGTTTGAATTGAAGATATTTATGAATAACCTCTTTAGGCAAAAATATTGATGACATTTAAAATGAGATTTGTTGAATTAAAAATAGCCACAGGCTTCAATAAACTTTAATGATAATCGATCTTAATACTGATTTGAGAAATAGTCATTTAATATTTGGAAAGATATTAATGTTTTTTAAAAGCATAAAACAATACGTTTAGTATAAATCTATTTTATGAATGTCTAACAAATGTTATGAAATAGCTGAGAAGGACGACGTGTTGTTTTACTAACAACTATCACATTGTACATATATGTCGGATTCCTATCTTTATTCGTCATATTGGAGCAGAAATGAAATGAAATGAAATGTGGTTTAACGTCCCGGCCCACTGTTCTGCTCCGGCTGGGCTAATGAAGACGGGCATACGCCATGCAATGTGCTATGTGGGCAATTTTGCTCGGTCAGCGGCGCTACAGCCTACTCTTATATCGAATTCCAATTGCCAAGGGATGTTTTACGTGCACGACTAGGCAGCTGTCCTCGTCAGGTCCTCCGTCTTGCCCTCGTCAGGCCCACTGACAAGGGGACACCTCACCGGAAAATCTCGACCAACGCTGGAAGAGAACCCGCGACCTACACGCTTGCGCGCTAGCGTCTTACCCCAGTATGCTTTTGAAGGGGTATACTGTGTAATAATTCAGAGGACAAATTATTGTCAAGGGAATCACGATGGTTCAGCGAATAAGGCGCTGACGCCCTCATCAGGTCCTAGCCGTTCGGATGGGACGAAAAAACGATGTATAAATTGGTATTGTACGTAAAAGATCCCTTGGCAGTTGGAATTTGAAATATCCACATTGGATGACGTATACATGTCCCCATTAGTACGGTTAGTACAGGGAACAATGGGACGTTAAACTATAAGTTTTATTCACGTATAGTATGCCTTGATGCACATTGTTATTGTTGAGACTATGTGTGGCTTAACTGCAATATGCCAATAACTGCATCCCATTAAATATCAGATTCTGCTGCAGATAAAGTGGACTTTACACTCAGAGACCAGGTATATACGATGTGGCAACAGGTGGTGTTAGAATACAGATACTATATAGCTGAAGGAGAAATGGTTTTCAATTCTATCGTGAAACAGTTTAGACAGACACAACCGAAGAATTATGTTGAAATTATGTTACACGCCATTCCATTTCATTTTTTTTACTTAAGACAGTGAAACTGTTTGGGCAGATATGGGTGGTGATCTAAGTGGCTGTCGTCACTAACATCACAACAATTCCAAACGCTTTCAGTTTGTATTGTAGCCCCTCGTGAGTATTATATACCACTGCCCCGAGACTGAAATTTGAGGTATAAGGGTAGAAGGGCAATTCGAGTCAGAGAGTAACACAAGCATGGTGGCATTGCACTACAACTTTCGGTTGCTAGATATGAAATGGGGTTTAGCGTTCTACTTTTCTGCAACGAAAGGGCTAATGAAGACGGGCGTACACTATACAGTGTGTTATGAGGGACATTTTGTCAGGACAGCTCCGGTACAACCTACTCTTATTTCGAATTCCAACGACTAGGCGCTATCCTTGCCAGTCAACCCCCTCCCCTTCCCCTGCACCACCGGCCACGGGAAACCACACTGGAAGATCATGGGAAACGTTTTCGTCAAAACCGAGATCAAACTCTTGAGATCCGGGTTACAGAGCCAGCGTCTTATTTACCCTTCCACCGTGTCTCCCCGTTAGTTATAAATAAATGCAAGGTCTATTACCGTACGTTGACAGCTAGGTGGTTCTGGGTGTTCGAGACCAGTTATAAATAAGTACAACAACTGTTTATATTTATAATATTCGATGTTTATATGATTAATAACATCATTTTCAGACATGGCAAGAAGACACATTGCTTCATTAATATAATAATCTGTACAATACAGGCTATAATAATTATCATATACAATTTATGGACGCTAATAAATATGTTCTCTTCATCTAATCTTTAATACAAAACAATATAAAAAAATAACGTGATATTTGATATCATTTTAACAAAATCTGTCACATTTCTGGTAATTTCAATACAGATTTTTACATTCCAAAACACAAAAATACACGTACATTCGCATTACATGCCGAATACTACACAATTAATACACAGACATACATTTCAATCCATTAAAATTAAATGCTATTTCGTTCCGTTTTGTATTCCCTATTTTATATTTAACCGGCTTCGTCTAGATTTAAATCGGTCCTATAAAAATGATGCAAAACGAATTAAACATTTAAAGATATTATTTCGTTTCGCTTTATATTCCGTGAGTTATATTCTACTGGGCTCGTTTGGATTGAAATGTTTACTATGGAAACCAAACGAAATGGAACGAAATAAAAATGTAATTTGAATTTGATTGACAGACACACACATTGTATAACGCTGCTTGTATTATACGAAAACGTATTTAAATGCTTTCTGGTATCAGAGTATGTCATTTACAAAACAGAGGTAGTCTTAATCTTATTAGAAAAAATGTTTCGAAGAATTAACAGCATCTTGAATGATAGCCATTTAAATTATATTTTGCGCTGAAATTCTACAAAATATAAATGCAAACTGGGTGTTTATCAGAAATGATATCCAAAACTGTCAGCTAAAATATCTGACCATAATAAAAATAACATCGTAAGTGATTATGGGGCAAGCAATAGGCCTACAAGATGGTTGAACATTTCTGAAAACATGAAAAATTGTAACGTGCTTTACATAATTTTACTATTTAAGTTTAAAACAGCGTAAGAAATAAATTTTTTTTATAATTTGATGTAAATTTTCTATCTGGACATTTCATAATTTACTGCAATCTGTAATTTAGTGTCACATATAGACTACACAAAAAACACAAACTATGCACATAGAAAACACACATGTGCACAAAACACACACACTTAGAAAAATACATTTAAACGACGACATCTTTCCAATCAGAATAGTCTAAACCGGCGAAACGATCTTCATTTTCTATTGTATAACTACCGGAAGTTGTTGTAGAACGATCGTCGCCATCTTCTGTTGTCATGGTGAGGACGCTGTCGTTACGCCAGTCTCTATGATGGGCTATTCCCCCAGTCATAGGTATGTAGTCACTATGTGATAGCACTTTGTTATTCCCCATAGGAATATAATGTCCGTTGTTCAGATATTTATCGTCTGTTCGATTTGCACTATTTTTATAAGAGGGATCTACACCTTTTGGCGGGAAACGTCCATTACTCAGTCTTTGCGCATTCGCGCCACCATTTTGTTGTGTCCTGTGGTTATTGTTTAAATTATTGTGCGGGTGTTGTGCATATAGAATATTAGGTTTCCTCCAATCAGAAACCTTGTTATAAGAGTCAATCTCTCCTTGTGGTTGATTTGCGTTTCGCGGTGAAGGAAGAACAGAACCCGCCGGATTATTTTTTAATGCTGATGCTTCGCGGAATGTCACGTGCTTTCTGGAACTATTCCGAACGGGATCTTTAACGCTTGATTTTACTGGTTGATTGGAAGCGTTGCTATGACTAGAAACGTTGCCTTGTGACTGGAAACTACTATTACTAATCTGTATATCTCTTGACAAATCGTGTTCATCTGAAAAGATAAAAATAACAAAATATTTATTTACAGTTACAACAGAAGATAGATATATCTAAAACAATTTTTAAAAAACCCCCAAAACAGTTGGCCTACAGGGTATTATATTCTCGGGTAAAAGCACGCGCACGCTTACCATATTCTTGTCATCATAACCTACTTTTAACAGTGAATTTAAATAATTGAAAATGCACGTGCACGCCTACCATGTCTCCGTCGTGATGACCTACGTTTATCAGTGCAGTTCAATAAGTATTAACAGGAAAGTTCATTAACCGGATTTTAATAATTGGAATCTCGAGAAATATTTCTGACATTTGAGATGATTTTATCTCTTGGTGATAGACCACTGCATGAAACATGGCTTGCTGACTGCTGTATCAGTTTATCAGGCGTACCAAACCACCTTGCGTAGTTTTTGAGAGCTTAATTTCTATCTTTATTTAGCGTATATCTCGTCCTGGGAGAAGATTCCATTTGATGTTTGATTGGAAAAACGCCAGATGATAGCCATTACAACAATTATAAACGGCTGACCTTGCTTGGGGCAGTATTTTGTTAGTTTGTTTTTTAGCGCGACATGCATTAATTTCAAGATGTCTACAATTCTGTTTCCAGTCTCCCTACTGGTAAAAGAACCCGCGATATTTTCAAACACAGGATCAACAATGGTGAACAATGGCCAGTAAACTAATGGGACGGCATTCACCGCGGAGTGTCAATATGGCGAATAGACGCCATATTTGCTCTTCCCAGAGTACAAACCCTGACGGAACAGCCCGGGGGGCATGGCTGAGAGGAAAAACGTCACTGAATCAAGACTCAGCAACAAAAGACAGGATTCCTTGAGTGAGCATGGAATTCCAATGATCTCGTTCTAAGAGATGTAATCGAATTTTTTGTGAACTTTGAGACGAGGAGAATTTTGTCAATTCTACGGAGAACAATTAATCGTAACCTTGATGTTGACTAGATGTATACACATGGCGTCAGGAATATTGGTCAAAGGGCGTTGGTCGAGTTGTTGTGAAAACGCCTATCCGTTCAACGGAGAAAGTAAAAATAGTTTGCATATCGACCCCCATTACCGTATCACTACAGTAACCAAGTAATAAACGCACGAAACATTTCCAATACCAAAGGGAAAATTTATATTTAATCCTTATTTGTAAAACAGGACGCAAAAACGAAAAAAAGGCTCCAACTCGCAAAGATTGTTTTGATATTTTACGGAAAGCTTTGGAAAGACATTTACTGAACCGTTGTGCTTTAAGATCAAGAGAATCGTTTTTGAAACTTTGCTCCTGTTAAATTCAGAAATTGTATTCCATATAAGGTTTGTGTTTTTATTAAATGTGACCAATCACTGGCACCACACTTTATGGGTTTCAAATCTTTTAAAACATTTTCTGATAATTGTTTACACTTCGATAAAGTAAAATGTTTGTGGCTTAGCGATTGTCCACTTAATTAGAAGGGGCACGGGTGTGGATTTAAAAGTCTTAGTTTTTGGATTAAAATGAACGTCAAGGGACTAAGCGCGGGCTAATGTATGGACCGACATTACGAATTTATGTATTAACACTAATATGTTATGTTGCCTTTCGTCTTGCCATGCTCGCGCCTCCCGCTATCCACGCACATCCGCGATTAAATAAACGGAGATCCTGGACATAATTTGTGTTGACTTTAGGCTTGTGATAAAACCAAAACAAACTTGACATGTTCATACAGTTCAGTAACTGTACAAGTTATTACTGTAACGGTGGTCAACCCACGCCATAATAAATACAGACTGCTGAGACTGTTAGTTAATTTGGCTTACAGATAAGATATACGACCGGAACAACCACGTGTAAGTGACCATTGAAATATGGCCAATAAGATAAAATTTAGTGGTCTCAAGAAGTGGTATACAATGAGGATGAACGTCCTGCTGTTCTGTCCCAACCTTGCTAATGAAGACCAGTATACGCTATTAGGGACATTTTGCCCAGTTAGCGGAGTTTCGGCTTATTTTTCGTTGCATGCATGCCAACATGTACACTGGGCCACATAGTCGCTATTTCTTGCACCCCCGACAAGGCCGCCATGGTCCCCGACAAATATTAGAATACAAATAGAAAAAAAACTAAAACGTTCCTCGAAAATCATTAAGAACTAATTTCATTCATTAGTTTTAAATATCAATCGATTTGTTATCGATATTTGAAATCAATATTTCATTCAGTCATCGCGCTATTTAAATACAATAAAGGTTAATTCTACTCATGATCCCGCCGAGGCCAAAGTTTACCGGGTTGCTCGACCATGCGTCTTGTAACATTCCATAATATAAGTTTATATATTGACATCTCAAGTGACACATGATTGACAGTTATTACATATAGATTGATTTCACGCGCTGCCTCGAAGCTGTTCGATCACGTGATACACTGTGGCCTATTTTCATAATATTTGATATAATATTGAACTGAATTCAATATAATTTCCAATATGGCTGCCATCAGATGTTAATATTTACTCTATAAGCTGTTTAATTTTTGGGATGTGTATGAATTCGCACTGATATCAATGGACATTTTTACCTTTGATCTTTGGCCGCTATTGATTTTTGGGTAGCTTCGGTTGAAACGACTTTGTATAATCTTTCTATGATAATATTTGATATACGTCTGGTTGGGCGAAATCGTATTATTTTCGATTATCCGGGCAATTAGCATTAGGCTCAAAAAAAGATGCGGGTTATGGTAGGTCAGGTTCTAACATCCAACGTATATTAAGAAGTGAATATCCACATAAAATATAGGAATTGGCTGTCTAAATAATGGCTGATGTGGACCACCTGATAACACTTTATCTGACAAGTCGACGTAACTAGTAATTTCATTCACTTCCCATTCCCACACCTTCCATTTCTTTCCGTAATATTAAAAATAGAATTTATCTTACCAAATGTTTGAGTTCCATTATGACTGGTAATGTCTTCTTCACTTCCGCCCCGGCCGCTGTCACTCGTAGTGGTCTCCCCTGAAGCGTCGCTATTGACGTCATCAGCTACATTGCCTTGTCGTGGCCAGTGATTAGATGAAGCCTGCAAATGAAACAAAATGGCCGACGTTATAAAACCAGCAACTATCAATATATGACACGCGTTACCAAGGTGTGAAATTCGTGTATTGAAAACAGTTTAAGCAGAAAATCCTTCTTTTTCAAAACCTATTGAATTATCTATAGCGGATAGGAAAACGACTTTGGTCACACCTGCAATATTTCATATTCTTCCTAATTAATCATAAAAAAGTCAATGATACAGAGAAAATGAGATCAGACGGAAAATCTAAAAACAATAACCAGCTCAAAAACTTAATGAGCGTAAATTCATATTGAACGCTGTCTGAAAGCTTTCTATAAGGTTATGACTTATGAACTGTTTTTAAGGACGTTTTTCTAAAAGGGGAAAAGGTGGGTTTATGTGGATGAAATTCTCGCTATTACTATTCAGCCAATGGCCTCACGCTTCGTCATCATTTAATGTGGTGCAGGTATTGTACAAACATATATTTCTTCCTTTTGAATTAAAGGTGTGTCGTGATATCACTCTGAATAAATCTAATTTTAAAAGGGAGTTAATTGTGAATAAACATTTAAATTTCCATCTATAAACATTTTGATACACTCATATCAATTCAATTTACCAAACAGTCACCAAAACTTAAATGTATATTCAAAGCAATTCAGTTTTAATCCACGTTTATAGTTTTGCTTTTCTTGGAGAAAGTTTTTTTACAGAATAATCTTAACAGGCCCGTAGCCAGCTTGCTGGCGCAGAGGGGGCCCCCCCCCCCAGCCCCCCCCCCCTTGGCTACGGGCCTGAATCTTAAGCCCAATGTGATATAGCTGGTTGAAAACAACATATAACTTAACAACTTCCAACCAATAAAGCAAGGTTTAATTAAAAGGAGAATCATACCAAGCATTTACAGTATTGCATATATTCATTTGAGAGTCGAAACTGTAATTATGCTACTTGTGGTTAAGTAATATAGATTTTTTTCCTTTTCGTTAGAAACGTCACACTCACTTTCAGATAAAACTAATGTTCATATCCAGTGTGGGACCTACTAATTAAATTCGGGTGCAGGGGGAATTCCTTTGAGAGCGGAGACTGCAATTACGTTACTTATGATTGGGTGATATTTCAACGTTCATTAGAAACTTTTAGATCTGTTGAATAAGTGACCCAATTAACTTCGGTGGGGGATGTTTATAGGGTTAAAGCGGGTGTGGGGTACATCTTTAACAGATATATGTTTTTAAAACTGACCTGTGATTGTTTGTAATTCTGTAACAAGGCATGATGTAACTGTAACGCGGCTAGCTGATCTATATTATTACTCTCTTGACGACCAGAGGAATCCAGCTTTAAATTCAAACTGTTTGGAGACATGCTGTTGTCTTTATACTGGTTGCTTGTCTGAAAATATACAAAACATCATTATTAGTCATGATGACCATGACGGTGATGATGGTATAATGAAAATGATCCATGTTCGACAATTACTCGTACGATATTTGCAACCAAACGCAAATAAAACTGGACGTGTTGTATTTATCCACAAAAGGATTCAGGGAAAGATAGAAGTGAAACGGTATTAAAATGCCAGAGCAGCACCAACCGGGCTATACTCCCCAACCGCTCTGAAAAATAAATTCCAAAATGAATACCATTACGTACATCTGTATAAGGAGTATACGAAATTTGAGAAATGTTTTCAATACGTCAAAAACAACTAAAACATTTATTTTAACATTCTGAGGTGTAAGTCAATTCTATTTTTAAAAAATCTAGAAATCGGTGTGATTTGTTTGTTATACAAGTGTGTCGTGTGTTTGAACTATGGCCGAAAGCTGGAATTATTTTGATTAAATTGGTTCCCGGGGTGTTTTTGGATAAATATATAGACTCCATATTAACGTGTTATAATCCCCCTTTCGCCAATAAACCACACAGAACAACACAAATTTACTGACAGTTTTCAATGAACATAAGAACGAAAATTCAACAAAAATTCCGACGACCGACGGCGACTCTTCTTAATCAAATTAGCCGAGGTAAATAGATGACCGTCGTTTGTGGTGTCATTTTACGACCAGGAAATCGGGACTTATAGCGCCCGATGTCACGACTGATAATGTACATACTGATTTGTGTGTTTGGTGAGCCGACATGGAGCATCAGTTAAGGAAATGGTTAAGTCGTAAGTTCCGGATGTTATATTAAAAATACCTGAGAAGGAACTTGGGACAGGGTACACATGACAAGACCATTGATTTATTTATAAACAAATAATCGAGAAAATGGAGTATATGTCCTACCACGTAAATTTATTAGCTAACTTCCCGAATAAATGGGGTTTAACGCGCAGCTTTTATTTACCGACTGGGCTAATAAAGACAGGTATACGTATGCCGTGTTTTATGTGGGAATTTTGCCCTGGTAGCACCGCTACGGTCTGCTCTTGTTTCCATTTTCAAATATCGGGAATTTTTAACGTGCTGTTAATGATAGCCTAAACACAGGGACTTCGGGTTTGCATCCTTTCCAACAAACAGACGTTTTTAATTACCGGGTCTTCTATGTATGCCCATTCTATCTAGAACATCTGATACCACTTCGCATTGTTTGGAAAATTCTAGCAGGGGTAAGAAAAATAACCTCACATGAATATTGAACGACGAATTAATATCAATCTGTCGTTATACTTATCCATAAACTTTGACAGCTTCTAAACATGCATCTGTACATATTGGTCAAAGAGTCGAACACAGGGATAATAGAAATTGCCTGTTTATGAATATAAAGCTCTATTAATAATGATCGGTTGTTGACAGGTCATCTGACCATCTGACTTTCATGTTTAATAGAAATCGTTTTGTATTTACACAGTTTGTGTGGTTAATACTTGAAATTAAAATTTAGGAGCACCTGATCACGTTTTTATGAAAAACAAAGTGTGACCATTCCCTAGCAACAAGGGTACAATATGTCGGCTAAAAGCTATCAATTTGTGTTTGGAATGCGATGTTTTGAGATGTGAAGGTAATAAAAAGACCAAAACGTCACTTAATCCAGGACTTTACTGTTCAAAACGCGCCGATAACCCAATGGCACAAAAAAGAGAGAAGATTTAGTCATCATTTGCAATTTGTAAAGCAATGTGGTGACTTAGCGACAACGTCGACTTTTTTTGTTCCGAAAGTCTTTGTGGAATATTGGATTGTCTTTAGTGTACTATTGATGAAACAAAACCGAAGCTAAACAGTTCATCACCTGTTTTTACTTCTTGACCTCACGAAGAACGAATTATGTGGTATTCACCGTGTTTGAACGCGGAATACGACGCAAGTGTAAGGACTGTTTGCTTTATTGAAGCGGATTCGTTAAACATTTGACATGTGAAGCCTAAAAATTCGACAGAGAGGCAACAAGTCAATTGTTTAGCATCATAGAGCCATATGTTACAAAACGCCCTTGCTTGTAAACCAGTCTAAAACCAGTAACATGCGTGACAGTTTGAAGTATATATAAGTGGAAACTCAATTCATCAGCTACTCCTTTTAAAATTTCCCTTTTTTTTCAAAACAATAAGAAAAAAGGGCTATCTCTATATTTTGACAAATAACAGTATGCTATTTGTTTAGAGTCGTTCAACCATTGAACCAGTTAAAAGTCGTGTTTATAAAATCATTGTCTGTATATAAAAAGGTTATAGAATTCAATTTACAAAATATAATTCTCATTTTAAAATAGGGACCGCCGTCTTTATAATTGTAACCATAATATTTTGTAAACGTACACAAAAGAAGAACAGTTAGTTTTTGAATATAAAATTCTCATTGAGAAAAAAAAAAGTTTTTTAACCATCTAAACATAGATACACCGATTTAAATCAGCTTTGGTTTCGTTTATATTTGGAGTATACGTCAACACAAAGGAATGAAATGAAATGGGGTTTAATGTCCTACTTTACTGCACCAAAGCGATAATGATGGGCACGCGCCATGTGGTGTGCTGTGGGGGGATTTTGCCCGGATAGCGGCGTTTCCGCCTACTGTTCATCGAATTTCAATTGCCAAAGGTTCTTTTACGTGCACCCCAACACAAAGCCAATTACATGTACTTTGTTACACATTATGATTATTCCGAATGGTGTAGAAAATGGGACATTAAATTCCATTTATTTTCGGGTTCTGTAGGACCTAGAACTCAATCAAATGATATTAAAATGTAACTCAATCTGTCGTACAAGTTCCTCTAATTACGAACTGCACGCCCAGAACATATTGCCGCTCTCTGATTACAAATATTGTTAGAAATGTCCAAAACGTTTAATTAATAAGCTTGCAAGCGAGTTCCCGTCAATTATCAACATGGCCGTCATCTTTAATCTGTCATCACAATCCAATAAATTATGACATGCGGTGATTTGCTGGTCTGACACGAATATTAAAATCATTAAAACGCATTCTAATCAGCCTGGTCATTTGTCCATTCTTTACTATGTCCATAAGTCATCATTACCCTGGTCGGGGGTCCCAATTACAGGCCTATAATAAAAACCACGGGAGACAACTGTTGACCGCCGCACGTAAATACAAAATATCATTCAGGTGTGTCTCATTGTCCGCGATATCACTATTATGGAAGCTGAAGTTAAATATAACAGACCGGGTATGTCTGATGACCAAAGTAAAGACCTACTTCTACACCAGGCTATGACTCAAGGTTCGCATTTATCTCCGTGCCTATTTTCATAACCCAAATACAAATATCTGCATAGGATGGGAAGGGTAACAAACCTAAGCGGACGGTCGTTTCAGCCACGGACATTTCAGCGAAGATTGTTTCCGAGTAGACTAAAGAAAAACTAATAGTGGTGTAATCAGTTATCATAAAATTTAAGAAATGAATTACAAGTAGCGAAATTATTTCATCAGGCTATGTACGTAAGAGCATGTTATATGGTCAAAATGTGGCAAACATAGTAAATTTCATTACAAGTCAAACATGGCGTAAATGATACCATCAATCGAATATGGCGTAAATGTTACAGTAGGCTAGCTAAAATCAGTAACACCATTTGGAGTGATAAAGTAAAATTTGAAGCCGTCAGATGGAGAAATTATTTTAAAACATGTAAAATTAACTCCAGCGGCGGGGTAATTAGAGGTAAATAATATCGCTGATGAATCACATTGTGTTGCCGAACGTATTATATATCAACAAAGACCCGGCTTCTCTTCTCCGCTTTGGTAAAAACACCGAAAGATTTGAAGATTGTAGACAATATTCGTCCAGGAGACAAACACAAACCTAAGACAGACTCATTGTTACGCTTAGTCGCAAGATGGGATGTGGTCCATTGTTGAAGATTTGAAGTCAAAATCCTTTATTTGATGACTAGTTAATGGAACAAAAATGGCGGTTCTTTTAAAATGGCGGCGGTATTAAATGGGTTTAAAATGTAATTAAAGTCATAAGTTTGTGACTAAGCGTCGGTCCGAGTTGACAAAGACGGTAAAGATCTTTACAAAAGGGGCGTCTGACTTCAAAACTTTTAGAAAATTTTCAGACGACACAAACAAACGCTGTAGGTTCAATAGTATAATCTCATTTAACAAGTTGAAACGAGTTACTAAAGAAATCAGTAGATGTATAAAGAAACTGAAATTTATAGATTTAAGCTAAGGTTATAACAGAACAACACAATGAAAACCGTGAACCATTGTGCTTGAAAACGACACGAGGATCGTTGTAGGAACGCAGCTCCAATTAAAAATATAGTAATTCTTTCCATATAACTCTTGTGTTTAATTCAATGTGTACGATTACTAAATGCGGTTTAAACAGTACATCTACGAGATCGTCTTAAATACAAATGGCACCATGTCTTGTACTGTCCAGAATCAAACGATCCTACCAATTCGGAAAATATTGAATTAAAATAACATTTAAAAATGGTGGCAACATTTTGTCACTTGTTTTAGTAAAGCCAAAACGTTTAGTCGTTGCGTTCCTTCGTCAATTTTCGAAACAAAATTACCCCAATTGTGAGCGAAAGTGGCTCCTGTAAACTGTATGACAATTTCATAATCAATTCATAAATATTTTTTAGTGGGTTGTAAATGTGTTGTCCGTCATATAACGCACCGTCTAGTCATATCATGATTGTCCATCGCCATTTGTAACGCACGGTCACGTAGCTACCTGTACGTATATAAAAAGCCGATTCAATATCCGATGTATTGATTACAAATCTATTTTATCGACGGTATGCTTCGATGAGTAATTCGTACCTGAGTGAACCTGAAAGATAGTCAGAGATTTTCTTAATAGTCACCTTTGAACAATACGGAAATATGCTAATACGTTTAGAGGCGGCGCTTTTCACTTAAATTACTGCATTACGGGGA